TAACCGGCTAATTTCGTTAGTTGACCGGGTCGCGGATCGATGCCTCTCGTGCTGCTCGTTAGCCCGCTCCCGTTTGTTAGTAGCGCCGGCTTTTGGTTGGTTTGGATCTGGGGAGTCGGTGAGTCTGAGGAGGTTAGGGGGCTGCACTAGCTTGTTGGACTGTTTTCTTAAGTTTCTCTCGATTTAGTGATTTCTCGATCAGAGGCGAACAATTTCGCAGAATTGATGTTGTGGGTTTGGCGAACTCTCGGATTCTGTTTGTAGAGTCGTGTACGGATAATTAGGACGTAAACTCTGGGGATACGTGGGATGGTTATAGTTGCCTTTGCATAGGCACTATGGATATAAATTGTTGCGATGGCATATATATTGAGTGAAGGTGGAGTTTTTGAATTCTCATGTTGAACTTACGAAATTTAGTACTTGGGTTCGTGGAAATCCGGACAACTATGAACTAAAGTTTGGCACCATCGCGTACTGTGTTGTGGACTTGTTTATGCTGGTTTCCCTACAATATAGTTAGCGGCAATTTGTTGTCTCGCAGTCTTTGTCGACTGGCGCTGGGGTGAAGAGTTCGGTGGGAATTTGCATCAAATGGCGAGGATAAAACCCCAAACCCTACTTCTTCAGAGTAAAAAGAAGAAGGGCCCTTCTCGCGTCAGTGTTCCTGTGATGATTCTGTACTGCATATTCATTGGGTTGGCCGTTTTCTCCTTGTTTGTTACGTATAGGCACTGGTCAAGAAGGTAGGATTCTACACTCCCCCATACCCCTCCCTTTGATGACTCAGTTTCTTAAAATGATATTGTCTACAGGTTACTTATTGCCCAATACTGAGGTTAAACTGGTGATCGTTTTTCAGGTCTGTGGAACAGACAGGCACTGGCTTAGCAAATTTTGAGGTAATATCATCTTTTTTCAACTTTCTAATGAGTAAAAATCTTGAATTTATCTTTTCAGTTTGCCGCTTTCGTATTGATATGATGAAATGTGTTTGATTTATTATGGTTTTATATTTTAGGACACAGATGCTGCTGTAGATTCGAAGAAGTACGATCTTCCTGGTTATGCTGTAAGTTTTTTTGTAATTCTTTGCACGAACATGCTCGTAGGACTCATGGCATATAGAGAGGAAGAATTATCACACGAGATAAGCTTTCCACATCTTGTCGTGATGAGGCTTACTGCTTCTCAACCTGGATGACTTCTCTATGGGGCGAGTTGAGATGGGGATCACTGTGTCCATTCCTGCCCTGCACCTCAAGAAGCTGGCTCACTAATTGCCCCATGCTTGGTAGGGCATGCGTGGAGCTTCTGTTAAAGCCCCATGCCCACTTCGCAGGAATAAATCACGCACAAGTCCTGCCCTACTTACCCTGTAACTATGATAATTTAACAGTGTATACTGTACAAAACTCATGAATCTTGAACCTTGTTATGTTAATGCAGAAGAGAAACATTACTCTATGTGAGATGATGAGGAACTCTGCGATTATATGTAATTTGTGGAATATGGAGTGGAGGCAAACAGTTGTTTATTAGTCAAGTTTATAAATAATTGAAAACACATTATATGTTGTTCAAGCAATGCAATAAGCTACTCCTAGATATGAACAGATCTCAAAAGAAGAAGAAGATATGTAAGATTGTATCCATCTCAAGCCTCAGAGAGAGAGAGAGTCTCACACTCAGATTGCCTAAATGTCAGATACTTTTATACGGTTATGTTCATTAAGCTAATAAAGTGGAGATCTTTAACAACATATGATGGGCAATGACTTCTCGAACCTGTCCGTGCGTTTCCCTGAGCATGGGGCTGTCTTGTTTTGTCGAGTTTGCAATATGCCCTGCATGATGTCAACCTGTCCTGGTGTAAAGGGTAAGATTAGTTGCGGCCCCTTCCCTGAGTGGAGCGTTACTCTACTTCACTGTAATTAGTGGTTCTAAGGATTTGATATTGAGAATAGTGGCGTTGAAACATGTGTATCTCTCTTTAAGCAATATTCCCGACTCTGCAAGATTGCTGAACTTATGTGGTCCCTCCTGCAAATTGCAAGATTTATTATCCTTTTCTTTTTCTGATTAATTTTTCCTATTTTTTGTGCAGATTTTGAATACATCAAAAGGTGATATCGTTGTGGAGCTTTTCAAGGATGGTGCCCCTGAGATTGTGGATAAATTCCTTGACTTGTGGTGAGTGTGTATCTGAATATTTAGTCATGCTCAGTGGTCAAGATCACAGACTCAAGTCTTTGCAGCTTAACTTAGATTTAAGAAGAGCCCCATGAATGCATTATTGCTCATCAGCTGATTTGATGGCTGTTTAATCTTGATTGATTTTTTGTTTATGTGCTTTAATATCTCTCTATTTTCTCCTACCTCTTGAGTTTGTTCAGAGTGTGATATGTGTCAATTCAACCAGTAATGTTTCTTGTGGAATTAGTCATCTAACTGTGGATTCAGTAGCAGCGGCTAAATATTATGCTTTTGCTGCTGAATCCGTACCGTTCTTATACTATAGGTTTTGCACTCCGTGATTGGATGACTATTTAGTCCTTGTGCAGTGCCATTGCTGAATACATAATTACTTGATGAAACTTCATTTTGAATCCTTTGGTAAATGTAGTTCACTTTCAAATTATTAGAATTACTTCCTGAAGTGAATGACAAAGGCAATATTGTTTGACTCTAGCCAATGTTTTCAATGTACACTCTCATATTATGCGCACCAACAGCCTGAGCTTGGATTTTTGCAGTCAAAAAGGGCACTTCAGAGGCATGCCTTTCCATCACGTGATTAAACATTATGTTATTCAAGGAGGGGATTTCCAAGGTCTTGGAGCGGCAGAAGATTGGACTTCCCGAGGAAAGCTTCGGGGCAAGCTCGTGACGAGGTACCTTGAATTGATGTGAATCATCACTGTAAGGTCTATTTAACTTTTGTTTTGTATTTTACATGATCACTTACTTTTTTCTCTTCTTAATGTGCAGTCCTAAGCATGAGGCTTTTATGCTTGGTACTTCAAAGAGTAAGCAAGACAGCAAGAAATTTGAGCTTTTCATCACAACTGCTCCCATACCGGATTTGAATGACAAGATTATTGTCTTTGGACGGGTAATCAAGGGAGAAGATGTGGTGCAGGTAATTTCACTTCTCTGTTCAAGAGTTGCTTGTTTTTTATTCCAATTCGAGATACAACTGCGCAATTGGCCCATTATGTTTGTTTTCTATCAGGAAATTGAAGAAGTGGACACAGATGAACTATATCGGCCCAAGTCTAATATATTGATATTTGATGTAATTCTCAAACGTGAAGTATGAAGCTTTAGCCAAACTGGTGACGTGTGTTGTTAACATGTGCTCCTCTGAGATTTTGCTAACCAGGATACAAGTTTTCTGAGGCAGACCACATTCCTCGGGACTTGTTTTATCTTCTCCGACAGGTGTATTACTTGCATTGTTGTTTTCAGGATCTTTTGGATTTGTAGCGCTTTTCCTTTCTCTTTTTGTTTCTTTCCGGGGTGGGGGATAATTTGTGGTAGGGATTAGTTTCTCTTTTCAGTAAAAAGTACAGGGAGCTTTGATTTGTGGAGGGAGCGGGAATGCAGAGTTAGGTTCAGCATTACACGAACAATTGTGCTGCTGCATCTTTTTGCTTGTATTTTTATCATTATATTCTATGAAGTTTGTTTGTTCTTTGTTGATACGAGTGTGAAACCACGGAATTCTTATGTTACCTCCTTGCTGGGGAAAATATCTATCGGAACCTGCTTTCCAATTTTAGTTTCTAAGGAGGTATTTTTCTTTTAATATCTTTAAGCTCTTCAATGGAGCGAAGGGAGTAACTCGAAAGCGGATGGAACTTGACTCTGGTTAAGAATTATCAAGAACATGGATTAGCTCAGTTGCTTATAACTTAATAAGTTTTGGTTCAACTCAGAGACTCTATCATCCAAGGTCGGCCCAAACTTATATATGCGAGCTCTTCTTTGCTCCAAACTGCTTTCTAGTTAATGGGTCACAAACGTATATTTCCCCACGAAGTCTAGATACTCATGAACCACAAGAAAACAGTCCAAAACCTACAAGCTCTGAAAGTCACCTCTCTCACCACCATGGAGCCACCACCGAACATCACTGTTGCCGTTAGTGAAGATGCAAAGTACAATGGATGCTAATAACGCTCTTTTCGAAGAGAATAATCAGATTTTTAAGGTCTAATAATAATCTTGCCAGATAAATATAAAAAAAGTTGATTCTTGAAAGGGTTTTGGTTACAAAAACTAGCAGTTTCACATAGCAAGCTGGTTTCATCATTTGAAGGGGCAAAGTGTGTTCGATTTGAGCCGGCCCATTTCTTTACGAAGCATCCCACTTACCGAAAAGAGGCAAAGAACTGTGACTTATTTCTGTCTGATGACCGTGAAATGTTATTGACTTTGACAGCAAGCCGTGGTACAGTAATGGTATCATTGCAGCCTTGAGACATGTCACGCCGGATTTGTTCATTTCTCATGACTGCATTCACTCAAGTGAGATCCCGTTCCCATTTCTACATGCTTTGCTTTAACAAATTAACACATTTGTTCTTGAATTCTCCTCTAAGTAATCGGGTACTTTTAAATTGAATAAAGTTGCATTCTAGCTGCTTGGAAACTATTCAGAAGGGAATAGAGGTTCCTTCTTGTTTGTCTAAATCAATCTACTCAAGTTACCTTTGATTCCTACCCATCTTTGGACAGTTTTCACGGTTATCTTGCATATTAATCTCCTTGGTTTTACCGCTATCCTGAAGCTATTTAGGGACAACAATTCCTCGAATTTCATTTAGGGCATAACATGACATGTCCACCATATGAGATCAGATTGTTGTTTGGTGGGTTATTTAGCAAAGCGCATTCAACTGTTTCTTTAGTTGATTTGAGGTGATTGCATCGTGTCTTTTGAGTTTCAGTTCGGAGGTTTGGTTTCTAGTTTCAAGCTCCAACATGTGAAGCATTTTCTGTTCTCTCTCATGCCATTGTATGTTATCCATGATGTTGATGAACTACTCGACGTCATCTCGTGAAATTAGTCTCATTGATTTTATTGCTATTAGTTTCATAATGGTGAATGTCAGTTTTTTTTGGCTTCACTGTAACTACTGCGGTAGTCTTGGTATTTTGCTGCATCATGCATTGTAGTTGGGGCTTCAGTAGATTTTTTGATTATGCAGCCGTTTCGATAACCGATATGATCTGAAGGAACTATTTGAACCAGTTCTTCTGTATACCATAATCCAGAGTACCTAACCTCGCTAATTAACTTTTATACCTCTGCTTAAGGCATAAGTACTTAAACTGACGCATGAACTTGGATGTAGTGCAACCAGCTGCTTTCATTTCTCCCACTTAATGGCAGCATGTATCGATTTATTTGACATGCCTTGTTCGATCCTAACAAATGAGTATATTGGGTCCTTCAGACGTCACTTGCTGAGAAGAACATAGAGCTCAAATCAAGATCATGTGGAAATAGCTCCTCCAGCGAATGATCCAAATAGCTTAATCAAAATGCAGGCACAGTCAGCGGCCCGAGACCATGTTTCGGTCGAAATTTCTCATACTGAAGATGACATCGTGTCTTCCATTCAGGGAAAGATGGAGGTCATTTCATCCTCAATCAATATCCGCAGAGTGCCCGAGCGACTGCGCGGGGAATATAGCAGGCACTACCTCCCGCAATTGGTCTCTATCGGACCTTATCACCGAGGCAAACTGACTTCCATGGATGATCACAAGTGGCGCTACTTATTTACACTCCTAAACCGAAACCCCGACATAGGATTGACCTTGGACAAGTGTGTGAAATCGCTCCGAGAGTTGGAGCACCGAGCGCGTCGGTCCTATGAAGGAGATATAAACCTCTCCAGCAACGACTTCATTGAAATGATGCTTGTCGACGGTTGTTTTATCCTTGAACTCTTCATCAAGTGCTCGAACCGGAGCCTCCGACGTAGGAATGATTCTCTCTTTTGCACTCCGGGGAAGCTGTATGACTTGAGGTGCGATCTGGTGCTGCTGGAAAATCAGATTCCTCTGTTCGTTCTTCAGCGATTGTTTCAGATCGTGCCGATTCCGAAACAGTGCACACATTCCCTGTACGATCTTGCCTTTCGGTTCTTCAAGAGTATGATCCCCGGAGAACAGGAATATCTCCGAGAAAAGCTCAACGAAGAAGCTCATCATTTGCTCGACTTAATCCACAACTGTTTGATACCAGCGAATTACACGAAGAAAGATGCACCGACACGAAATGGTCTGGATAAGCATGCAGTCGAACTTCAAGTTGCCGGAATCAAGTTCAAAAGATTGGTGACTAGAAGCGTGTTAGACGTCGAATTTAGCAAAGGTGTCCTCTATGTCCCGGCTCTGAGAATCAATCCGAGCACGGTGATCCTTTTGAGGAACCTAATCGCCCTCGAGCAAAGTCGGTGCGTTGACACGCCATGCGTGACTTCTTATGCTAATCTCATTCACAAACTAATGTCCTCGGAGAAGGACGAGAAGCTGTTCTGCGAACAACGCATAGTATCAAACCACTTGGACGGCGACGCGAAGGTTTTCCAACTGTTTGGCGATCTGTGCAAGGGTCTGATCTTACAGGATTATCACTACGAAGAACTCTGCGTACAGATGAAAGAGTACATCGACAGGAAAAAGCGCAGGACATCGAAGTGCAACCAGAAGACTGATCAACAAGCAAGTAAGCAGAGCACACTCATCGTCCTGGTCATCATCGTCCTAATCATGATATTCATCGGGACGCTGTTCTCTGCATTGTCATTCTTCCTCCACCATAACTAGCACACCCATGGACGCGAATGAGCCGCTTTGTCGTCGCATTATGTTAGCTCCTCTTTTTCTTTCATGGGTTTGAGTTTCTGTTGCTTTACGCACAAGTAAAGTGTCGGAGCGAATGTTGCACATCCGGGTCTTGAAAGTTTCACGATCAGAAAGATGGATCGATATAAACAGCGAACAACGTCGTCGCGAGTTCATTGTCTACTCGTTCTGCAGAAATTTCCACTGAAGCAATCGTTTCTTGCTGAAAAAGAAGCAAGCGGCATTGTTTCATTTCCATGCTTTCAAGAAATGCTCTCATTGTAATGTCCCCGTGACCAAGATGTTTTGGGCTACGGAACAAAGCTTCAAAGCAAAATGACCAAAAAGGAATAGTGTAGATGCAAACACAAATTTGGCCTTTTTGTACTTGTGAAAAATAAATGTTTCATTCCTTATTATAAAATTTCAAGATTACTAACAAATGTCCTACCTTATTTAACTGGGTCCAGATTGGTTCACACGGAGATCGGGTAGGTTCCAAGATGAAAATTTGGGGAACCGGCCTTGGTTCTTAGGAAGAACCGATTTTGATCTAGTAGTCTTTTTTATCTTTACTTTGTTTATAAAAAAAATGGATACGTACGTTAGAGATGGATTTTGAACTTGAGAAATTTAGGAAATCCATCAATGTCTTAATTATTGTACCGCAAATTATTGACATGATATATTTTTCTATAATAGTTCTTATGTTGCGTAAAGTTAGGCACGGTTCCCGAGTCTACCCTAGAACCAGCAGGCTTTCAAAAATTGAGAACTTATTTTGAGTTCCGAGCACCCCTATGGGATCAAACCTCCTCCAACACAAAATTCACTTCCGCAAAATTGATGGGCCAAAAAAATAAAATAAAAAAAGGCACAAAATTGAATAAATAATAGAGAAGACATTGGAGATGGTGGGCTGATCCAATTTTGCTTAATCGTGTTATTACAAACTACTGATCAGTTTTAATTTTTTTTTTCTTGTGAATATTATTAATGATCAGCTTGGGCCAACCTAGCTGTCCACCTCAGCAATCATTACCTGAAAATTAACAAGTTTGGCACCATCCTTAAATTCAGCATCCTTCAATAGACTTGAATGTTATTCAACTTTTCTTAGTCTTGGCACCATCCTTAAATTCAGCATCCTTCAATAGACTTGAATGTTATTCAACTTTTCTTAGTCTTATCATATACTGAAAATAGGGTCAAGTAACTTTCAAATTGTCTTCGAGATTACGTTTTTGCAATTTCCTCGTGAATAATTCGAGGGGGTAGAAGCTGTAGTCAAAGTCAACATCACGAGCGTGGGCCCAGAATTTTAAATTCTTTCTTTTTAAATTCAGTTTGGTCCCATGTGGACCCTAAAAGATCTGCAACTTGCAGATAAGATGGGGGTTCCGGTATAGGGTCAATTCGGTCATTAAAATTTTTGAATTGAACATGATGTATGACTTGGATTTTATCAAGAATCTCATATCTGGCCACAATTATTGGACCCAATCATAATATCACCAAATGTCAGGCACCTCCTTGAAATTTCGAAAAAAAGGGGGGAAAAGCAAAAATAAGGAAAGTATATGGCAGTTGTCAATGTGACTTTTGGAATGAATGCATATCCCGCATTTGGAAAATAGGTGAATTGGAAGATACATGGACCAGGGAATAGGTAACTTTTTCTTTCAACTTTTTCTAACTAGCACGAACAATTAAGTTAAGCCCGTTTGGTAATGCATGCATCGAAATTATTACATCAACTTAAAGTTGGGTGACATAATTTTTTAAAAGCTTATGTAAGTTGTTGCTACAAATTTGAAGAATCCATGAGGCATTTGCTAAACATCTGAAAAGGAACTGCAAAGTCTTTTTCATGATTAAAGCCATAGCGAAAAAAAAAAATAGATTGTGCAAAAACGGGCTTTATTGGTTGGCATATTTTTTAGCAGAAGAAACTTAATTAGTTTTGAAAGATTTTCGCAAAAATATTTTATCGGGACTTGTAGTAAGAGCATAGTCAAGTATTATTTTCTTATTGTCCGACAACTGTTTTTTGGAAAAAACAAGAAGAAGAGGAAAATGTTAAAGGGCGAAGAAATAGGGTGAGATATCAACTTCCCTTCTAGAAGAAGGACCAGGAAATAAATTACACAAATAGAGGGGCATCAGGGCTAAAAAGGAAAAGAAAAACTCTAGCCAAGTGGGAAGGACCCCCACATGGGCCCCACCTCACACGCATTCGGACCGGCGCCCGTGCAAAGTACAGATCACGTTCCGACAAAACACACGCACCACATTACTCGGTCGTGTCCTACGCTCAGAATTCAAAACATCGGGGAAATTATCCCCTACGTCTCCGGCGCACGTACACCCCCTCCTCTCTCCGCCGTCGGATCCTCCATCCATCGCGCGAGGTCGACGCGAACGGTGGGATTTGCGGGAGCGAAGACGAAAGACGACGACGACGACCCAGGAGGAGCTGATGTGATGATGGAGGACGACGACGCACCGCGCATCGCGCTGTCAAGACAGACCACGCATTTGCCGCATTTGCGCAGCGCCATCATCGTCCCTCGTAAAAGCACCTTCCTTTGGGGGGCGAGTCTGTCTTTCTCGTGCATCATCGTCAGCTCCTCCTCGCGCGGCCTCTCGATCTGCCTTTGTTATCCGACCCCACGAGACCGAAAGGAAGAGATAATCCAAGAACTGGGTCTTGGTTGGGTTTGAGGGAGAGAGACGAGAGAGAGAGAGAGAGAGAGAGAGAGAGAGAGAGAGAGAGAGATGGAAGGGGACAGGAGAGTTGGAGTGGCGGTGGATTTCTCGGCATGCAGCAAGAAGGCGGTGAAGTGGGCGGTGGACAACGTCGTCCGCGACGGCGATCACCTGATCCTCATCACCGTCCGCCCCGAGGGTAACTACGAGGAAGGCGAGATGCAGCTCTGGGCAGCCACCGGCTCTCGTAATACAATCTTCTCTCTCTCTCTCTTTGTGCGTGCGTGTGTGTGGGGATCAGTGTCTAGAGATCACGGTTGATATGACGTCGATCCTTGTAATATGTTCCACTTTTGCAATATTTTTTTCCTTCTTCTTCAGCTAGAAGAGCTGTTTTTCAAAGAACTGAGACGGAAGATAGATTAGATGGAGATCATGTATAAGAATACACTCTGCTCGTTTTTTCATCGTGGGTTTTTCATTTTTAGTGGTTGTTTGTTTGTTTTTGTTCTCTTTTGTTCCAAGGAATGGATCCTGGCTCTTTGTTCTGAAGTTCCTTTCCCAGATAAGTTCGTGATTGTTTATGTGTTCTTGGTTACGACATCTGGATTTCATGGCAAATGAATTCAGTTGACCTGGAATGGACCCTAAAAGAGGAATCTTTATCTTGAGAAATGATCTGTTTCTTGATTCTATCATCTTTTGGATTACTTTAGTTTATTGATCTCTGTGTGTGTGTGTGTCATTTGGGGTTCATTCATTTTGTTTTTTGGGCAGCTCTTATCCCTCTGAATGAGTTCTCTGATCCCATTATCATGAAGAAATATGGGGTGAAGCCTGACCCAGAGACGATCGACATCGTCAGCACTATTGCTAGGCAGAAGGAGGTAAATTCTGAATCTGGATTTATAATCTGACCTTGCATTTTTGCATAAGCTGTATATCTGTCTTATAGAAAGAGGACGATTGATTCAATGTCTATTTGTGCAGGTTGCGGTGGTTATGAAGATCTACTGGGGAGATGCACGTGAGAAGATCTGTGAAGCGATTGACAAAATCCCCCTGAGCTGCCTCATAATTGGAAACAGGGGCCTCGGCAAGCTGAAGAGGTACAATTGATTGCATCCAACTCTGACTCCTTGGTGCTGTTGAATATGCATTGGCATGTGCACCGATATGTGCTAGGATAAAAATGGTTACTCTTGCCTTGTGGCTCAATTGATTGGCTTGAACTCGATAAAGATGCTGCTAAGATCCATTCTACTGATGACATGTCTTGACAAGACGAAGCATGATGAGGGCAAGGAATAGAAACTAGTGTTTCGTGTGGAATCTAGTGCAGGTGTCATTAATCATTTTTTACCGGCTTAGTCTGTTTGCTAACACACTTCTATCATATTAAAAAAGGTCACATTTACTGTCTAACATCATTCTCGTAGAACAAGAGAAAATTTTCCCTAGAAGTGCTATTTATTCTTGATTTGCCCCTAAGGAGGATCATTTAGCTGGGAAGATGTAGCGTCCGATTTTCTATGCTAGACTAAGTGGCCTCAAGTTGATTGTGCAATTGGGATGCTTCTCTTCCTCTCTTTGAATGTTTTGCTGAAAAAACTGATGCAGTTTGTCTGTCATATTGGTGCAGGGCCATACTGGGGAGTGTGAGCAACTATGTCGTGAACAATGGATCTTGCCCTGTGACCGTCGTGAAGAGCACAGAACACGATAACTAATCGGTTCGCATACTCTTCCTATGATTGATGAAGAAATAAATTCACCTGCATTCTCTAGCTGATTGGATTCCTAGTCCTTGAGGATATCCAGGATGGAAACCATGGAAAGTAAGTTTTGCTGTTGCGATGCTTCGGCAAAGTTGTAAGAATTTCATAGTTGGTGTATATGCCTTTCTTCAGTTTCTGCAAAGTAAACTTTGTCGGACCGAAAAAAAATTTGATCATGGACAACTTTGGGTGTTGGATAGTGGCATTTAATTTGCAGAGGCGTAGCTCTTGGTTATAATCTCGGGGTTGCTTTTCATGGCTTCTCATCTCATTATTAGTTCTTCCATCTTAAGCAGGGGTGTGATTTGTTGAGTACCTCAAGCCTCTCATCTCTGAATTATGTGTGTGCATATATGTTGGTGATGAGAGGGATTTTCTAAATGGATTAAGGAAGTTACTTTTGAGGAGGGAAAGTTGTACAAGTTCTTCTCTTTATGAAAATTGAAAGGACTTGAGCCGTTCATTTAATCAAATGAAACGACATGAATACGTGATTCTGCACAGCACTAACTCGCAGTTAGAGATAGTAGGTGACTGCTGTACCGGCACCATGCTCTGTATGCTCTGTATCGTGTTTGCACATGTTGCTAGCGGATCATGGAAGCTTCAGAGTTTAGCTGCTGTGGCGAAATTGCTTACCGGATGTCTTGCTTTTGGTATCGAAGGATGCCATGTGCACAGATTTGGGCCAATGCACTTAGACTTGATCGTGTGCCCGGCAGCAATTTGCTAGCTCAGGTGACCCCGAAAATGTATGTCAATTTATTAGCTAGAAGCCGGCTTGGGCAACAAGTCACCCTCGGACACGTGGCCCGATCTGTGTCCCGATCCACCCATTTGACTACACCTAGATATAAAGAATGAGTAGCTGATCAACGATCAGGCTAGGGAAAACCGACACGTATCGGTCTTAAAATGGACAATCTTGGTATGAGTTTCATCAGATGTACTTCGGTTAATTTTAGTAGGTATATTCTTGGAACGATGTCACAACCTGAGAACCTGAACACCATTGTTAGCATCCGAGAAATGAGGCTGAAATATCTCAAAAACCAGAGACACATACATTCCTCCTCGTCCTGTATTCATGCTCGGCTACTTATTTAGGAGGAGCAAAAGATAAATCTAATCCCTTTACTCGCAACTCTTTTATCTTAAATCTCTACAATCGCAACTCTTTTATCTTAATCTCTACAGTCTCTTATCCTCCATTTTCCCCCGTTTTATCCTCCTTCCGAATCAATTGAAGGGCGCAAAACTAAAAGTGGCAACTAATGGAGAACAGGAACATTAGAATCCTTCTCACGATGTCATTCTTCTCTTTCATTTGGCTCAACCCTGCTGAGGCGATCTGCGTCCCTCGCAACTCCACTCCCGTCGGGCCATCTCCGTCGCCTGACTCTCCTCCAAACTCCAATGCCTCCCCATCCCACGAACCGTCTCCATCGCCAGAATCGATTCCTCCTCGACCCTCCATGGTTGCTCCTCCACAAAGCTCACAGGCTGCAGATGCCGATCCTCCACCAACCAATGTAGAGGCCACTACTGTGCCCAGGGGCAGCCTAATACAGGCCGGAGGGGCCGACCTCGCGATAAAAAAGTTGTGCGACACGACTGATTACCCCGGCCTTTGCGTCTCCACCCTCTCCCCGTTCCTGGTTGGGAGCGCACTGTTGGCGGAGCCCATCGCGCTGCTCCAGACAGCCATTAAGGCAGCGACAGCGGAGACCAAGCTCGCGATGATGGTGCTAGGCAGGCTCATTGAGATGTCGTACGCGGACGCCAAGACCTTGATGAGCCTCAAGGACTGCCACGACAACTACAGCGACGCACTGGACAACTTCCAAGCCGCAATGGATGCAATCCCAAACCGGGACATAGGGACCATAAACAGCATGCTGAGCGCGGCGGTGACGGACTACGGGACATGCGAGGATGAGTTCTCGGGGGGGAGCTCGCCGATGGCCGGCCACGATAGTAAGCTTAGCCATATGGCTGATAATTGCCTGGCCATTGCTTCCTTGATCAAATGAGTTAGTTCTTGGGTGTCCATTGAGATGTCCTGTAATATAAGATCCAAAATGCCACTAAAGTTAAGGAAACACTTTCTTATTCTTTTCAATAGGATAATGAGTCTTAGGAATAAGAAGCAAATACATACCGTACAGGAATTGTATGTTTCTATACGATTACAATGTATATGATGAGTATTGTAGTCTTGTGAAAGTGGCTTTTATGTAATTAATTGCTAATGGGTTCTTTCATGTATGAGAAATTGTAGAAGTTTTTTGTACTGTTGTACAGGAAAATTGTATTTATGGAGTAATTGGGTGATTCATTGAGATTAGCAAACGAGAATCACTCCCAGGCCATTAGTTTTTCTCCACACTCTGAGTGATTAAAGATTAGGAGTCCGACCCAAATGGGCTGCTCAAGTGATAAACGTGCCCGTCTTATTGGTTCAAAATTTAGGTTCGAAACGCTGCAATTACGCATGCTCTTCACCAGTATGAACCGTGTGCTCCAATAATTATTGATGTGCAACAAGTGAGGGCCAGCGAAATAGACTGGGCATTTGAGGATATCGCCAGCCACAAGTGAGGGCCAGCGACCTTCACTGGTTAGAGGTGAGCCTCGCCTATGGTCGGTGCTGAAAACTCTTCTAACATGTGCCGAGCTCGTTGTCCATGGAACGAAATTAGAAATAAACTGTAGATTTAAACCTGTATGCACAAGGAGTGAAATTTTGATTGCTCACCAGCCTCACGATAACTCAATAGGTTGACCTGTCTATTTCAGATGGCCTGGAAAGCAATCCATGAATTGATGATAAAATCATGGTCAGAGAAGACAGATCAACCCATCAAAATCAGCTGCCACCACCGGCCATTGCCTCTGGCTACTGTCATATGCAACAACTAAATCGATTTTCATAAAAAGAAACTTCCAACAATGACAACAGAGACGGCATTAGGCTTCTCAACTTGGCCACACCTACTACACTCGCAGAGAGAAGAGCGCGTAGGAGCTCCCTTCGGTCCAAGCAGAGAGCAGAATTTTTTTCTCTGTCTTCTGGCCACAAACGCAGGACAACTCTTTGAAATAGCCCTTCTTCACTGAGCCTCAAAGCATGAATTTCAGTATCAAGAAGAGCCATTCGAACAGACAGAAATTCTCTTCCCTCAGAGCAAGTGGAAACCAACTTCTTCACTCGCATAAGATCAGGTACACTGGGTATATAACCACGCAGTCTCCTGACGTGTTCATAAACACAGACATGAAACAACGAAATCGAAATCAGACGAAAACCCAGAAAACTTTTCGTACTAACAAAGGAAACAATCTATCATGGCAATCGGTTTGCGAACAAAAATGGGTGACTTTTACGGCTCAGATAAACGTTGGAAACAAGGATTCAACTCCCCGACCTGTGACAGGTCTCGTAGAGCTGGGATAAGAACATTTGTCATCACTGCCAAAATCACCCAACAAGCGACAACGACGATAATTATTCAAAGCAAACAACGCTAGATAGAGGCACTGGCAGGAAAAGAGAGAGGATGCCAGGAAGACGTAGAAGGAAACCACGACTTCATCGAAGCGAAACGAAGTGAAGAGAAGAGACCCTAATATGCTATGGCTTCAGGTAAGTAGTGGGTGGTAACCAAGAAGGGGGAACATTGCAGCTTCTGTAACACCCCCATCAACAACGTCGCCGATAACCAAGAAGCAGTTGATGCTCAACCCAAGGTGAGAGACACGCATTGTATTGTGTAGAACTTATTTAGTATGGGGTTTAGTCCCAAGACCAACAGACCATATCAAGGTGACAGAGAATCATTGGTTTTCTATTCTAAATGGAAACAGGGCAAGTCCCATGCAAGCAGAAATCAAGAAATCTGAAAGCAGAATATGCTTTTCTTCTGGCCACAAGCACAGAACAACTCTTTTAAATAGGCCTTCTTCACTGAGCCTCAAAGGGTGAATTTCAGCATTAAGAAGAGCCATTCAAACAGACAGAAATCATTCGATTCAATTCACTTCCCTCAGAGCAAGTGGAAACAACTTTACACTCACATAAGATCAGGCACATTAGCATGGTTCAATCGTAATCACCATTGGGAATATAACCATGCCGTCTCCTGACGTATTCATCAACAAAGACATGAAACAACGAAATCAAAATCAGAACAAAACCCAGAAAACTTTCCGTATTAACAAAGGAAACCATCCATCGTCGCAATCGGTTTGTGAAGAAAAATGGGTGGACTTTCACGGCTCAGATAAACGTTGGAAACAAGAATTCAACTCCCCGACCCGTGACAGGTCTCGTAGAGCTGGGATTAACATTTATCATCACTGCTAAAAATCACCCAACAAATGACAACGACGATAATTATTCAGAGCAAACAACGCGAGATAGAGGAACTAGCAGGAACACAGAGAGGATGCCAAGAAGACGGCGGAGAAGAAGGAAGCCACGACTTCGTCGACGAAGCGAAGGGAAGAGACCCTTATATGCAATGGCTTCGGGCGGGCGGTGGGTGTGGTCGTGTGGGCTTTGGAATACTAGGTTAAATTATGGGCCGCTTTAGTGCACTATTTATGGCCTATTCTTTGGGCTTGAGTGAGGGCTTCCATGCCCTCGCCGGCCAAAGGAGGGATTGTGAGCCCCGGCCGGATTTGGCGAGGCTAGACTAGAGTGTGGCAGCCCTTCCCGCCCACAACGAGCGCGGACGAGGGCCGCAACTCTCTCGTTGTGGCCCGTGAGGGGTCACGGCCCCTCGCCGGCCTTAGCGAGGGGTTGCCGTACTCCTTGCGTCACCAGATCTGGTGAGGGCTCACGAGCACTCCTTGTGGCCAACGACGACATGCGAGCCCTCACTCAAGCCCTCACCGGCCACAGCGAGGGCAGCGACCCTTGCCCCTGACAGGCAAGGACTTCGTGGCCCTCTCCCAGGGGCCGGCGAGGGTCGTCAACCCTTTGAACCAAAAAAGAAACAAAAAAAAAGTATTACAAAATTAATAAAATTTGGAAATATATTAAAATATTATTAAATATTGTCTGCGACAGTGCTGACTGTGCCACTTTCATGTTAACGAATTCCGGCCAAAATTGGTTTGATGAACTCAGTTAGCAAAACATGAAAAGGATTAATATTCAATTAGCAAAATTAAAAAGTTGAGGATTAAATTGACAAAAAAAGTATAATAATTTTATGAATTATTGGATAATTTGCCCTATGATGTGGCTTAATTATGAAAAGTTCTACCCAATTTTTTTTATTGCTTATTTATATACTAAAAACTCATAGTCAAATTGTTAGCCAAAAGGAGTGAATGATGAAACATGCGGGGGAAAGAAAAACTGAAAGTGCCATCGCCATGTAGGTCCAGGAGAAAAAGTGCAACCCTTTGGGAACAAGGGTTGAACTTCAACAAGAAGGCCCAAAAGATTTTTATTTTTTTTTCTATTTCACATGGGCCACAACAAGGGCGTCACAGCCCTCGCCCACCCTCGTTATGGCTGGCGAGGGCCGCCACGCCCTCGCCTCGCCAGATCTGGCGAGGGCTCACGAGCCCTCCCTATGGCTAGTGAGGACATGCAAGCTCTCACTCAAGCCCTTGGAGACCACAACGAGGGCCACAACCCTCGCCCCTGGCAAGCGAGGGCTTCGTGGCCCTCACTCATGGGCCGGTGGGGGTCGTCGATCCTTTGAACCAAAAAAGAAACAAAAAGAAAAGTATAAAAAATTAATAAAAATTCAAAATATATTAAAATATTATTAAAAATTATTCACGACAGCACTGGCCGTACCACTTCCACGTTAGCGATTTCCGATCAAAATTGGCTAGATTGACTCAATTGACAAAACTTGAAAAGGTTTAGGATTTAATTGGCAAAATTAAAAATTTAGGATTGAATTGGCAAAAAGTGTAATAAGTTTATGAATTTTTGGATGATTTTTCGTATGATGTGGCTTAACCATGAAAAGTTCTACCCTATTTTTTTGTTGCTTATTTTTACATTAGAAATTCATAGACAAATTGTTAGCCAAAAGGAGTGAATGATGAAACATGTGGAGGAAAGAAAAACTGACAGTGCCATCGCCATGTAGGTCCAGGTGAAAAAGTGCAACCCTTTGGGAACAAGGGTTGAACTTCAACAAGAAGGCCCAAACGATTTTTCTTTTTTCTATTTCACATGAGGACACTAATGGAGGTCTATTCTCAATCATAAAAGTGTGCAACATTGTTTTTTTTTTTTTTTTTTTTTTTTTTTTTTTTTTTTGGTAACCCAGGGAACCCCCGCACGGCCGACAGCCATGGAAGAAACCCCAGGGCGACACGTCTTAGCCACCACACACGTGCCACCGGTTAAGTCACCTGCGGCGCCGGGATTCGAACACTCAACCTTTTGCGAGAGGAAGAGTGCGCGCTCCAGCAGCGCCACCCAGGCGGGTGGTTCAACATTGTTTTTCCCCAACAAAATTAAAAAAGAAGATAGTTGGTCCTGCTGAAGCTCAGACAATAGGCTGAAATTCTTTGTTTGATGCACATGAAATTCCAGAAACTTCTATTTATTATACTTTAAATCAAGTATATGTATGCATGCATGTTAGGATGTCTGAACTTATTGGATTAATCCCCAACTCTAAAAAGGTTCATAAAATTTGTGATTTTGTAGCATTGAATATTGATACCGATTTCGATTCTCTCTAAATCATGATAGACAAATCACCAAATCTCACATTAAAATTTTCGTTCTCCCTCGTATAAACATACTATTTACATGAAAAGGGAAAACGGGATCGGTTTTTTTTTGCCTGAAAAGAAAATTTGAGTAAAGTTGGGGTTTATTAGGAAAATCGTCCAGATTTGAGAGTTTTTATGCATAAGAACCACTGATCACATGAGAAATTCGGGCATATTCGATCACCATAACAAAACTTTTTCTGCCGGTATCTTGAGATCGATGATGCTTATCTAGTAGAAAATGCTGCGCTAGTGGTGAAGACTTGATGCAATATATAAATCCCTAGCTTTTGGTTTATTCGTTTTGAAAAATAGATTCATGCATGCATAGAGGGGGACTCATTAGATTTTTGGCATGTCATCTGAATGTTCTGGATCATCCATGGGGTTCAGCAGTCAACTTCTTAGAGGAAGCTAAAATGTATTCCGGCATAGGATGAGGGGTCCAGTGAACACTGAAGAGTGTGGTTTTGCACTTCTCAAGCAAGCGAAGCGAGACAACTCAGTTGGGAAGGGAGGGGAAGTATGTCATTCACTGAGTCCATGCACGGGTCCGCACTATAAATTCCGCACACTTGGCCAATGTTAGTCCTGCCTCACTTCAAACCCACCCACAAAATCTCAGTCCTTTTGTCTTGTTCTTCCTCTCTCTGCTTGCACAAGTTTGTCATCCAAATGGAAAACACAATCTCTGAAGTAATGAGATCACTCCCTCCAGGATTCAGATTCCATGCCACTGATGAGGAGCTACTGATTCAATACTTGAAGCCCAAAATACTGGGACAACAAGGCGAACACTACTATGATGTAATACCGGAGATCGATGTATGCGAATTCGAACCTTGGCAATTGCCCGCCATGTTCCGTCACATGTTCAACAGTAAGGAGCTGTTTTTCTTTTGTCATTTGAAGCGCAAGTACTTTAACAGCAAGCGCTCCGACCGCACAACCAAAGCCGGTTACTGGAAAGTAACCGGCAAGGAACGCGCCATCATGAGCGAGGACACCAATGCGCCGATAGGAATCAAGAAGACACTGGTGTTCTACGAGGGCCGTGTGCCTAAAGGCAAACGGACCAACTGGGTGTCTCACGAGTACCACCTAAATCCTGAGTGTTTGGGCCATAATCACAACGCAGATGAGGTAACGTTTAGGTTCTCATTCATTTGCAGAACGCAATTGGTTATAAATAACATTTGAGACACGCTCTGTAGTTACGGGCTGTTTCTCTGTTACTAATGTTGTTCATGATATACATGCAGCTGCTGCCTTACGTGGCATGTCGGATCAAGAACAAAAAAGAGAAGAAGCTGATAATGGCTTACGCTCCGACAGTCAGCCCCGAAGGCTGTTCGAGCAGCCCTCACGCATACACTAGCAATGTATCAGGGACCCCTGTGAATCAAGAAGGGGACCATTCCAGCTTCTGTAACACCCCCGACAACGAAGTTGCTGATAACCAAGAATCAGTTGATGCTCAACCCGAGGTGAGAGATGCGCATTTTATTTTGTAGAACTTATATAGCATGGGGTTTAGTCCCAAGACCAATAGACCATATCAAAGTCACAGAGACTCATTGGTTTTCTATTCCAAAATACTAATGACTGCATAATCACAATAGCAACATCTTTGGGACTATTTTCATTTCAAACTTCAGGATTGTTTCTGTAAAGGTACTTAAGATGGGTTGTTTTATATGATCTACATTGTTTTGAATGCAGATGTCAGTGGAAGAGTTAATGGAGTCGCTCCCTCCATTGCAGCCTCTGGATGACACTTTATTAGACTACAACGACACTCTAACCTATCAGCCACACGCAGAAGCAGAGGATGGATCATCGTCCTTATTTGATTTCTCATATAACAACTACGGCGATGAGCTTGACTATGGCTACATGCCATCTCCGTGCAGCAATTTCGCAAACTATTCCAGTTTCGACTGGGGCAATGTCTGAGCACTTCCCTACTACAGCGTGCGACAACAGTTGATCATATTTTGCAAGGAGTGTGTGTATGTGTTTTTCTACTTCTGATGTAGTTAGTATTGTTGAGTGTGGCTTCTGGAGTGAAGTGAAACATATGCAGTTTCGTTCTTTCTGGGTGTCTCAGTTTGCACCAGTGGCCATTGCTACCCAAAAGATCACATTTTGGTCCGTTTTGAAGGAATTTTTTTTTTAATTTACTGTAACTGATAATTACTAAAAACTGTTATGAGTTCACTTCTCTACGACAACAATGTAACAATTTGTATAAGTATTTTCTTGGATAGAGAGTTTTGAAAGAAAGGAAAACAAGAATCTGAGTTATTTGTGCAGGACTCACCACATAAATTTACTTAAATATGCAGCACATTTTTATTAATATTGTGATGAATGGCAATAATTATGATGAACACAATCACAGGAATTATAGTGAAGGGAGGAGAACATTAATCGTTTTGAATCGACGAAAAAAATGTCATCTTGATTAATACTGTGCACGAAATTCGTAGCTTTTTTCATATGATTTTCATTTAGCAATAAACATGGAATCCATAGATTAGTCCAATTAAACCACTAACTTAGAGGACAATTCAAGGTTGTGCGTTGGTTCCACCGCGCATTAACATAAAAGTAAAGAAAATTCATAACAAAACGAAAATTCACTGTAAGAATTTGTCTTTGGTTTGCAATAAAAAAAATTACCAATTGGTAATGAGAATTAGCTTAATATTATAGCTTTAAAAGAAGTCGATATCGATCACCATAAGTTATGATATTGACAATTTACATTGATAAGATACTTACACGAAAGCAACTCTAAATTCCGAAGTTTGAAAATCCTTATCCATTTTTCATTTATTATGTAGTTATTCATGAATAATCTACGTCTTAAAATTTTCTATAATTGAATGCAATACGATTGGTAGATGTATGAGATTAAAATTAATATCGTACTAACATGATCATCGAGTTATCAGAGACAATATCAAATATTTTCAAATAGTTCAGGAAATAATTGAATAGATTAAATGGTCAGAGATGAAGTTACATATTGAACTAAAGATCATGAACCAAATTGAACAAATTAAAAATTTAGAAATAGTATTGCACTTGATTCAATGCGCGCGATCAGATACAAAAATTTCAATCTTTATTTTCTTGCATCTTTCCTACCAAAGAGTTAGAGAAGACAACGTTGCCCGTTCAAGATTCACTAACGATCCAATACGAACCCCTGAATCACTCGTCAATCGTGCTCGGCATTTCGTTTTCAAGATCCGGCGCCGGTTGGGTTGGATCTGAATCGAGATACCCAAGTAACGATTGACGAGTCCTTTCATGGGTCGGTGTTCTTCAAGATTCAAATCCATTCTTTCTTTGCCTCGGCCTCGGATTGCAGGTAACGAATTCGAGTTCCATCTTTCTCGTTCTTGGACTTGGGCAGCTTCCCATTTGCGTGGAGTGAGTTCTTCGGATCCCTGCTGTTCTTGGAGGGTTTCTGTGTCGTGTTCTTGGGGCGGTACCCCCAAGGCTGAACTGGGTCTGTCTTACACATTGCTATGAATTCCGAAAATCTAAACCAGACTGCAAATTTTACCTGGAAGAAGTTGAAACTTGAGGTGGGGGATAGCCACAAATGATCTGCGGTTCTTATACAGCAACTCCGTTCGATGCAACCGTTGCTGGGTAGCTCTTGATGACTGAAATTTTTTTCCTTTTCCAAATGGTTTCGATATGGAGCACGATCCCGGTGTAGGTTGTGATTGTCTCTTACTCTGCCCAGTCCGCCTTCCCTCCCCCTCTTACATATTTGGGAGGCGGTTGACACAATTCTTGTTGCTTAATATCTTTCCTGGAAAATTGACAAGCTCTGAATTCTTTACCATCAGAGATTCATGCTTGCTCCTATCATGAATCTGCAGGTGCATTGCCTTGTCTGTGTTGCATAAAGTAAACATTGAAACGAAAGGGGAAAAAGATTGGATGCGCGATGTATTGATTTACCATGAAGGCCATTCAGGCATTTGTCTGCATTTTGATGCAGTTGAAAATCATATAATTGGAAAAGATGCAACTTCAAGAGTAGGAAGAATCGTGACAGGCGTGAGACTTTATAGTTTTAGCTCGCATTTGATGTTTTTTTGCCCTGAGTGCAGAATTCGTTTGGACTAATGAGGGAATCACTTCCCCAAGTGCTGCAACTGGCCAGCCTTTGTAATTTACCTCGGAAGATGGCTTACTGGGAAATGGTTAGCATGACAATAATGTTGGTAATGAATATATTTCATCACATAGCAACACTTTTCTAAACACCCAAACCGTTGGAAGTTTGAACTGAAGCTGATTGGTTTAAATGGTGCTTATGTGTTGATTTGTAGGAGCGCTCCATCAAGGTCATATATATCTTCATCATGAAACTAAGTGTGCTCCTTTTTTGTTTGGTCGGGAGCACACTTAGTTTCGGGATTAAGATATATATGACCTTGACGTAGTGCTCCTATTATGCAGTTAAATATTCGAAAGAATAAGAACTGAGCATAAATAACTAGCACTTTTGATTACTTCAGTCCTCCTAAAAATTTTACTAGAACTCCTAATAGATAAATACCATCGCCAATGGAAGTTTAACAGGAAGTAATGCAAGAGGGAGCTGAAGACCTTGCTTTTAGCTATGGACCTTGAGGGAATGACTTTTGACTAGTTAGTGTGATGGTAGGGTCGGAAGAAGAAGTAAACTTTTCAAAGAAGTTTTGAAACTTGGAGAACAAGTCTGAAATTTTCGGTGAGAACAGTTTTTTTCTCCTTTCTTTACCATTTTAGTGGCAATTCTTTATGTCTTTACTATAACTTTTTGTTTGTATGCAAATGCTTTTCTGATGGACTTTTCATTTGTTTGTTTTTTTCCTGAGCCATGGACATTTTATTTGTTAATATGAGTCAAAACAAGTGGGAAAAAATTAAGATGTTTCTTTTCCCTCCTTCCCTTTACCACCTCAGTCCTTGTTGATTTTGAGGGGACATAACAATCATGAAGAATCTCACATCGAGATTGCTTTGGATGATTGACTACATGGTTTGGAAAATTGAAAAATAGAAGTGTCTTTTGTAGATTATTCAGAATTCACCATTTATTAATGGGATACTCCTATGTATTTGTATGGGGTCTTTCTATAGTCCTCCAACCATGACTGATTTTGCTTGGGAAGTTAGTACCTCGATAATCGAAGTTACTAACGCTAGTTATTGCACAAAATGAGGAAATTGCCATGATATTGAGAAGGTTATTATCATGGATTACTGTTTTGTATCATTTTGCACGGCACTATAGACATACCCATTGGTATGACTCAAGAGGAAAAAGCAGCTATCCATTGATATGCACAGTCACAGGACAGAGGTTAAGATGTGGGATCCACCAAACAGTCAAACAACTTCCTAGCCAAGCTCACAGCATCTCTATTATAAATAAGAATGGATAGAACTCCGGTATGAAGCAATCCAAAGCAAGCCAAAGCAAGTCGGTATTGCTCTCTTCAAATTTCCTTCTCTTTCCCTTGTAGTTAGTATTTTTGTTCTTTTTTTTCTTTGAGATGGAAAGTGTAGAAATTTCATTAGTCAATATGCCGGTGGGATTCCGATTCAGACCAACAGATGAGGAACTCGTCAATCAATACTTGAAGTTGAAGAAACTTGGCAACAAAACGGTTGAACAGATAATACCCGAGGTTGATGTCCATCAATTGCCACCTTGGGATTTACCTGGCAAGATAAATGGTAAGACACAATCAAAACTGTCCTGTTCATCCTTAAAAAATGTGATGAGTTTGTGGTTGGTCCATGCTATTTCCTTTTGGGATTCTGTGTCTGTCGGTTTGCATCTGTAGTTTGAAGATTTTTTGCTGCGGAGATATGCAGAATTATCAAGGATAAAGTCAGATGGTGATGAATGGTTCTTCTTCTGCCGTCTGCAAAATAAGTACCCTCAAAGTAAACGGGCGAGAAGGACAAATGATTATGGCTCTTGGAAGCCAACTGGCAAAACTCACAAAATCAGGACACAAGACAAAAAGATTATATTAGGCTTGAAGAAAATTTTGGTTTTCAAAATACGTCAAAGTCCCAAAAATGCCCATACCAAATGGGTACTGCATGAATACTACTTAAATGCTGATGTTACAGACAACGTCCTCAATGACCAGGTACGCAATCTTCTTGCTTTTCCTTCCTCTTGCAGTGAACTTCAGCGCAAACCATATTGAACCATTTAAGGATACATATGTATGATTCAGGTCGGTAAATGAATGTTGTCCATTCCAGGAGCTTTCATTTAAGAGGTCTTCTGATTTCATTTTCTTCTTCGACTTAGTTTTCTGGAGTTGAGACTGAGCAGCTCTTAGTTGCTCTGACTTTTGCCTTGTTCCCCTGAAATGAAATAGCTCTTATTAAACTTCTATTGATTTGTTTTCAACTAAGACAATTTTACCAAGTAAAATCTCTGGACTCTTTTTTCCCTCCGCTATAGCTATCAGTAGCCCCATTCACTCTATTTTTAAGCTGAGCAAGGAGTCTTTTTTTTTAAAAGGAGTCTTATGAGTTGCATGTGGAGTGTTACCAAAGTTGTTATTTTGAATGATAGTTGATTCTTTGAGGTCGGTCTTACTTTTCTTTTCGGATTAAATCACAAAGTACTTTCAGAGATCAGTGATTAGACTTGAATAAATTGTTGCCTTGTCTTTTGTCTTTCTATATTAGAGTGACTTCGTTCTTTACCGCTTGAAGAAAAACCCTGATAAGACGGGTAAGAAAAATTCAAAGACTCAGAAGACCAACACAGGTATCTCTATTATGCCTCAAGAAGGCAGCAGAAGTAGCCCTAACACGCTTGATGAAGTCAACAACACAAGTATCTCTATTATGCCTCAAGAAGGCAGCAGAAGTAGCTGTAACACCCCTGATGAAGTCAACAACACAAGTTGCTCCAATGCATTAGCAACTGCCAAAAGCATCGTATCCGAAGAGATTCCGAAGGTCAGAAGAAGCATCAAAATGGTGCCTGTTAAAGATCATTATAGGATGTTTAGCAAACTAATGTTTCTTCTTGTTTTTGTTTCGACAATAGGAATCTTTAAAAGAAAATTTACAGCAACCACCGACGCCAATTCTCTCACCAGAATGCAACTCATCACAATGTGATTTCTCTGCAACTCCACTGCCACCCACAGCAACTGGAGAGCAATTTACTCATGATTCGGTGTATCAGGATTTGGAGTCTTATTTTGCTGAAACTGAAGAACTCCAAGAGTTATTGGATATGTTAAACTCGTAAGCTGGTTCTAGTATAAACACTCTTCTGAAGAAAGCATTATATAAACTTTTTGTGGCTGGGTAATTTGTGTACATCCACTGGCCTGGAAGCTCACTCTTTTTTTTTTTGGTCGAAGGAAGCACACTCTTTAAGTGCTGATAGAGTATGCCCATGTTGTGTCGCAGGAAAAGATTTTCCTTGTGGAAAACAATGTACATGGATCAAATGCATTCGTTGATCCATGTACATTATTTGCTTAATGAGTTTTTATTCCAAGCTGCTTAATATGAGTTATCTGTTATGGCAGTAGGTGAAATTTTTAACAAGAAATTCACCAGAAATGTAGAAACAGTTACGTGGATTCGTCCCAGCTAGTTGTTTCGCACTCACACGCTGTTCGTATAAATGAGGTATATTGATTTGGCATTGAATTCATGCCCATTCAATTGACCCTTGTTTCGATGGAATTGGATTCGTCCCTTTTAATTGTTTCGCGCTCTAGCGTTGTTTGCGTGCGATACAAAAATAATAAGATGGAAAAGGAAAACTGAAGTGGCATGACCACCCAATTATGAAATATCATCAGTTGCAAGAACAGTCTTGGATCTGAAGACTGAAAGATAACTTCGTGTGGTCCAAGCACAAGAAGTACAAAATAACCAGAATTAGTAGTTACAATGAATCTCCTGTAAACAAACAACTACAAAAAATGGAAATTCAATTCTGGCGAATCGAACGCTTGCACGCAGACCAAGTTGTCAGTCTCAGCTATCTAGTCAATTTTTTCCTCAAAAAGTTCTCTTCTGAAGCAAGGGAAGGACTGCATATAGACATTGATCAGCCAAAGTCAAGTCGATGCTTTTGCTATAGCACCAAAAAAACACCATCTATAAAGCTCAAATTAGTGTTTCAAGGGTCACTTTGCTTCGGATTCATCTACTGAAGAAACTGAAAATTTAGTTTGAGAATGAAGTTGTCAAGACTTAGGAATGTCCTCCTTCATTCCCGTTCAAATGTTGTATGAACAAATGCGTGACTTTCTGCCTGTAGGATGCAGGCTTCACCCCCACCTACGGGGAACTTGTCAATCATTACTTGACTCTACAAATTCTCAGATTTAAAGATAATCAATGCATTATTCCAGAGACCCCTTTTGTGTGCAGTTTTTATCCCTAGTATCTACCCCTCCTATCCAGAGGTAAAATGTGACATTCTCTTTGAGTTACTCTGTAATTTATGGGTGATAAGAAGTCGGTGTTCTTTGCATGGTCTGTTTTGTAAGACAAACTATGTTTGAAGGTCAAGGTTGGCATTTGTTTCCGGCTTTGAAATGGCTTGTGTACTATTGTCTATTGTGACGGGAAAAAGAAATGATCACGGAAGAGTTCAGCAATATGTCCGTAGAATTTGGTTTCGGCGAGGTCAATGGCGGTGATCACATCCCCAAAATTTTGTTAGATTTTGCCTCAGCTATGTGAGAAGACCTGTTTATGCCTGTGAGAGCTAGACGGATTTTGTCAACGAGTACCATCGAAGCACTTGTTAAACATACTTAATGAAGACATGTTCCAAAAAAGCATTGATAGTGCATATTATAAAATCAATCATCGCAATCAAAGTTGTAATATTTCTTCATTTGGTCGCTTAGCAAGTATCCCAGGGACACTTTTTAGATAAGAGTGCTTTAGGTAAAAGAACATGTTGATGTTTTTATACGATAAACTTTTCGACTAAACTAAAATGGAGCATTACAAATTTCGTAGAGTTCTGGTATTTGCATGCAGTCTTGAGCCAATGCCTATGCTTATTCTTGATCTTTCAAAATCATCATCAGCAGAAAACAAGTTAATACCGCTCTAGGTTGGCAATCCATATAATGACCACTATCGACACATTTCGTCCAAATAGAATCTGTTAAAGGTCATCTTACAAGAACACTTTCTGTTGAAACTGACAATCTAATTTGAGAAGAAAACTAACTGGCCCGAACCCGTTAACAAATACACCGTTCTTTCCCTGTCGTAACACGAACTGCAGCAAAATCGGCTCTGCCGACGCTCAAGTAGCCACTCGAATCAGCCAGGCAGCATCTTTGGCATCCTCTCCCCTCTGTGTTAGAAACTTCAATCCAAAAACTCGGATTAAGAAATTGGCCTAAACAAAAGGCTTAACTGAGAGAAACCGAACTCGCACAATTGCTTGTCATATCAAATCGAACAAGATTGACAGGAAGAAATAGCGGCGAAAAAGAAACTTGCACAATTGAATGAATACTTACAAGCCAGGAAACTACAAGATCACGTTGCAAAAATCTAGGCATTTTATGCATCCATTTATTAATTAAACCCCCTCGAGTGCAAGAAGTGAAATATATAATATATTACAAATAGTTCGATCATGGGGATTGACAAGCTCTTTCTTTGAACCAAGGTTTATGCATTGATGCAATTCCAGCATCAACACTCCTGTGTCTAGGATTCATCCATGAAAACGGCACCATGTCCAATAGACTTCATGATTTTTTTGAACAAGAGAACCATAATCGCTATGCTAAGTCCAACCGCAGCCCATGTGAACAAGCGATCATCAGCTGGTTTTTGAACCCTCGTTTGAAGCTGTTCACTTCTTGCGGGGCTATGCCTAGACGGCTCTGCCCTCTCCAAGACAGGATTTGGATTAGCAGGGGATTCTTGTGCTTCTTCAATGACCCTATCACCTGCATCGCGTGGAGGCTCTTCAGCGGAAGAATTTCCCTGGTCGCTCTGAGATTCAGCAGAATGGTCATCGGAAGGCTGAACTTGCGGAACAGGTGGTGCTTTGCTCAGCATATACTCATGAATCTGTTGAGAGAGTAAACTCAATAAGCATTTAGCTCCAAATTATCAAAAAGCACATGCGCAAGGAGGAATTATACCTCGTTAATCACTTGTTGACGCTCAGCGTTACCGAATCGGGGTGCTGCCTCACGAGATTTAATAGCCAAGGTACGTCTTTCTTCCTTCTTATAGTCTAGGGAGCCCAATGCACCATTAGGGTTGGTTGGCATGAACGCAATGAGTGCCACTAAAGCAGTGCGTACTGCCAAAACAAAGAAGAAATTAAGTATGGATTGGACTCTGAAGCTTCCAGTGATGAGCAAACTAAGAATCTAAAAACTGCCGGAGTAGACCTTATGTCAAGTAGAATTGTTTGACGTATTCTACGATTATCTAATCCTAGCACCGCTCAGGTTATGTTAAAAATGACAGGAAGCCAGAAAAACAATTTACGTGAACCGGGGAAGTCAATTGGGGATGTTGCAAACATTCCTTAAGAGAAAGCCAAACAACGCCATATACCAAGCACCTTCCTTACCCCATAAAAACATAATGAAAAGATGACAATTTCTACTCCATGCAACTGTAGAGTATTATTTAATGAATCTTTAATAGTTTAACAAGCAACCAAATATCCGACAAAAGAATGATACCCAAGCAATGCCTCCTGGTTTGAGATTCACAACTTTATACTAGCCTCATAACCCATGACAATAAAACATACCACTCCATGATGGCTGCCAGTGCTCAGGGTGATGATTGGATATGCTCAGGCATATCTTCGTTTGTGTCTCAAAGCGACCATTGGGCTGTAGCATAACAAAAACACATTTGAGCGTAAGCCACAGTACTGCCAAATAAAGGAACCAAACATGAAGTTGCCTGAGGGGTAACATAAAATGAGACAAGATATGGGAAGAAAACATTACCGTCAACAACATGAACGAAGGCGGCTTGAATGGATACTCCGCAGGTAGCTGGATGCGGCCATGGTAGATACCGCCTTCGAATTCACTATCGCGTGGTCCCCTGATAGCAAATTGCCACTCGAAGATGTTCTCCTGCAAGCAGAAGACATCCAGAAGATCAAGCAACCAGCCACCAAGCAATTGCATAGGAGAAAAACCAAAGGCAAGCCAACCACACGCCGATTATCACTTAAAACGAAGAATTGAGAAGCTCGGGAGCTAAGGAGTAAGGGAAATCAACACTACTTCAAAATCGACATCGAGTCACAACACCTAAACAGCAATTCAGCTAAAATTCCTCGACTCTCGCATGATAGATCAATCAGGCGGCGAGCAAATTCAACAACTTACGGAGGCCGTTCATCGAATGACAATTCAAAACAGAAATCTTCCGAAGCATAAATGAAATCGAAACAAAAACACCGTGTCGATATATCGCGCTCGCCGTATAAAAACCCAAAAAGCAATTCGAATCGGCGCCGGAACAACACGTTTTCGGCCCGATCTTCCTCCCTAACCCTAATTGACCCTCCGCATCCACGATGCGCGAACGCAGCGCGGTGAAATACAGGTATATGCAAGAAAGAGAGGCGGAATCGGGGGGGTAGAAACCTCGAGGGGGAGGCTCGTGAAGTCGTCGGAGGGGTTGGACTGCATCTCCTTGATCTCCTGGAGGATCCGCTTCACCGCCGGGTTCTTCAGGTTGTACTTGTCCTCCGCCATGGTGGCTCCGCCGCCGCCGCCGACGATCCCGATCGGATCCCTCCGCCGACCGACTCCCGGTGTCGATGTTGCTGCGGGTGAGGTGGTGATTTGAATTCGGGGAGGAATGAATGAATGATGACGACGATGGTGATCTTTTCGCGTTTCGCGTTTGGTTGGTTGGGGTGTGAGCTGGGATGGGAGGAGCTGCAGGAGGGGAGAGAGAGACGACCCCGTCGTCTTGACTCGACACGTCACGGGGTTGGCGCGCGGGGTGACGTGGCGCGACGTGATTGGACGAACGGGCGTTGCTCTACCCCCGCGGGGCCATGTTAGTGGGCACGGTTGACTGATATTGGAAAGGGTCGGTTGCCGGCAAAAAAATGGTAAATTGCAAATCGTAATATCGCAAAAAATCTCAAATTAATATATTTGTGATATATTTACTTAAAATTAATTTTTTAATCATCAAAAGCTCCAAATTGATACATCCGTGATAAATTTACCCAAAATTAATTTTTTGACAATCAAAAACCTCAAACTGATACATTTATGACAAATTTACCCTTCATTAATTTCAGTTAAATTAGATTAATGCGAAAAGAAAAATCACAAACTGGTACACCTGTGATAAATGGAGGGTAAAATCCAAAACTGGTATATCCGTCAACTACCATGTGTCATTTGACAAAGCAATTTAATAGTAAAATTTAACGGAAATTAACGCAAGGTAAAATTGTTATAGATGTACTAGTTTGGGATATTTGGTAGTCAAAAAATTAGTCTGGGGTAAAATTAT